CAGCAACCTCCAACTCCTGGGCTCAAGCGAGTCTCCTGCCTCAGCCTCCCAAGTAGCTGGGACCACAGGCGCCCACCACAACACCTGGCTGTTTTTTGGTTGCAGCCGTTGTTGTTTGGCGAGCCCAGGCTGGATTCAAACCTGCCACCTTAGGTGTATGTGGCTGGCACCTTAGCCACTTGAGCCATAGGCGCCGAGCCTAAAATTTGCTTCTTTAGGTATGCCTCCTTTCTTTTCTTTCTTTTTTTTGAGACAGTGTCTCACTCTGTTGCCCAGACTAAAGTGCCATGGCCACAGCCTAGCTCAAACTCCTGGCCTCAAGCAATACTCCTGCCTCAGCATCCTGAGTAGCTGGGACTACAAATGCCTGTCACAACACTCAGCTGATTTTCCGTTTTGAGTAGATATGAGGCCTCCTCTTGCTCAGGCTGGTCTTGAACTCCTGAGCTCAAGGGATCCTGCTACCTTAGCCTCCCAGAGTGCTAGGATTACAGACCTGAGCTACTGCACTAGGCCTTGTCTCTTTTATTTACTTGTGAAGATATCTGCTTCAGTTTCGCAATTCATAGGTCAAAGATCTATGAGTTCTCACAACCTGTAAAAATAGATTATGGAAACTGACCTCACCTTTTCATCTCTCCTTTTTCCCACCATGAACACTAGTTTCCTAGCCTTCTTTTCTTTTTTAACCAGAGCAACCCAACCCCTGAACTTCCTATATTAAAAACATAAGGTGACAATGATGGAAATAGCAGAATACCAAGGACATTTTTCATGTCCACATCACCTCTACAACCCTTAAGTTTTGAGAGATGATCGAATGACCCAATTTGTTTTCTTTTCCTTTTTATTCTGTAGTTATCATGTGATGTAAAATTAGATCCTCGCCCAGAATACCATCGGTGTATACTGACTTGGCATCACCAAGAGCCACTGCCTTGGGCACAGAGTACAGGTTAGTCATTCCCATCTATAGGTATGCCTAGGCACCCATCCTGTTAAAACACAAAGTTATAGATAATGATCTTCTTTGGTTATAACTAATTTTGTAATTATTGTAAAATTTTCTTTTTGAAAGGTTAGATAAGTTAAATCATGCCTAAATAGTACAGCATAATATGGCAAGAGTAAAAAAAATTAACGGAAGTTTAGTTATTTCATTGAACCACGTTCCAGATAAACATTTGAAATCTAAATCTAGAATTATAGAAGATTTTGATCTGTTTGTTCAACCAATAGGTTCTCTACATAACTTTGTAGGAAAAGGAGGAGACTATGGCTATGCCACCTTGTAATGTGAGATTAAAACCCAATTTATAATGTGATTCTCTGTAACCTCTACTATACTGCAGATACTAGCAAATTTTAAGGGCAGAGAAATCAATATGAAAATTCAGAGCTCTGTAGGTATGTCTTCTGGATTTTAAACTTTTATCCCCAACCTCACTTAGTCATATTTTACCTAACTTTTGATTCAACTGCACAAAAACTATTTTACCCTTTAAACAAAGATCCTATCAAATGAAAACATTAACCAACGTAGTGACTAAGGACATGAGCTTTGCCACCAGAGAGAACTGTATTCAAATTGGCTACCACCTAGTTGGTAGGCAAGTTATCCAAGACTCGTGAGTCTTGTGAGAACCAAATAAGATAAACAAAGTGCCTCATACCTTGTCTGGCACTTAGTACAGAAATTGTAGCCGCTGCTGTTACTACTGCTGTAATAGGTTTGTAAAGTCTCTCTTTGCAGACACATGCGACATTTCAGCCTAAATTGAAAAGTTCTGTGGCGTTTTATATAATTCTGTAAAATCCTGGTTTAATTCTCTTAAGCAAGAATTTCTAATGTGATGTTTACTTTAAGTGTTTCAGTGAGAAGGTGGTAGGATATAGTAGCATGGCCTCTTACAAAATGTACTGCGGGAGGGAGGAGGGACGCCTGTGGCGCAAAGGAGTAAGGCGCCGGCCCCATATGCCAGAGGTGCCGGGTTCAAACCCAGCCCTGGCCAAAAAAAAAAAAAGTACTGGGAAGTCAGATCATCTCTCCTCCTCTTGAATCCCTGTATTTCTGTCAGTTCTCATTCTGAACACATCTACAGGGGCTCCAAATGTACATGCCATGATGTCCACACTGCTGTACTGAGAGTATTTCTTCCTAGGTAATCAGATGAGCAGCCGTCTGATGAGCATGCGCAGTGCTAATGGATTGTTGATGCTACCTCCAAAGACAGAGCAGTACGTGGAGCTCCACAAGGGCGAGGTGGTGGATGTCATGGTCATTGGACGGCTATGATGGTCACCAGCAGGAGAACGCTTTGATGCATGTCCACATATCATTGACTGTATCCTGTAATATGCAACGGCACAGCTAGTTTTTCTGATTTGGATAAAAGTTGATCTGTATAGTCAACATCTCGAACTATATTTCAAATGAATTTAAATACCTTTTAAAGAAAAAAAAAACACCTAAAAATAAATCTTACCAGACAATTCTATTCTGATTATATCAAAGCAAATTTTTCCTTTCTTGCAAATTGCTTTGTGTGTTCAATGCTAGGTCTGATAGCGATAGCTTTTAGTAGACAGCAGTAGGTGCCTGCAGAACTTGTGTTTTTTCTCATCTTTAAAATACAACTACTTATGCTCTTAAATCAAGGCTGTCTGCTTATTTATACTAGCGTAGGCAACACTTGGATTTCCCTTCTTCGTATGCTTCATAATCGCTTTGCAGAGAGCTTTTGCTTGTTCTTTATCATGTATCTCGTGTTGATGTGCACAGTGCCAAAAGAAGACTAACAGGGTGGAGGCCCTGGTCGGCCGCAAGAACCATGCCCTGCAGAGCGTCCAGGGAGGTGTCTGACCCTTAGTAGCCTCACGGCACAGTACTCTTGGGCAGTAACTGGATACCTTTTATTTGAACAAACAAACTGAAGAAAATAATGCTTCCTTAAGTGCTGACAGCCTTTTTAACCAATACATTTAAAATTGTACAGAACAAAAAAATAAAATCAAAGACTGATCTTGTACAGATATTAGTGTTACCAGCATTCACGTGGAAATCAAGAGCAAAGACAAAATAATGTTAAACAACTCTGTACCATAACATTTTCTGTAATGATACTAAAACTTAATGAATAAAAAAATCCTTGATCATTATTTAAAAATGTATTGTGTTGGCCTGGTTATTAAGAAAAGAAAGATGGGGTTTCATTCTAATGAGGTTCTACCTGGAAAAAAGGTATAGTTAAAATGACCTACCAATATTCAGTGGTATAAAGGAGATCTAAAATATGGTATAATGTTACTATATCTTATATACTGTTTGGAAAAAATAACATTGTGATCTATAGCATTGTAAAAATACAGATTAGAAAGTAAGGGAACCTGCGGTTGGTCTGGTCTGGAGAATAGCAAGCAGTATTACAGGAAGTATACTTGATGACTTAGAAAAAAATTAATTCTTATTTTAGGTGCTATAAAAGCAAATTGCAAACATCTATAGTCCTCTGGAACAGAGGGAAAAAGTAAGCAACCAAAAATTATAGTTGAGTAAAAATATTTTTATCATGTTAGGAAGTAAGAAATGGGGAAAACATATGCTGACCCCAGAAAATACAACAAATAAACTACACTCTATCCACAGTGGCTCCTTTAATATAAATGTAGGGGCACTTTTCAAATGGCGGTAACAGGGAGATGTTAAAATGCTATAAAATGTGCTTAGAGGCTCGGTGCCTATAGCTCAGCCTCTAGGGTACCAGCCACATACAACAGAGCTGGTGGGTTCAAACCCAGCCTGGGCCTGCCAAACAACAATAACAACAACTGCTACAAAAAAATAGCCGAGCATGGTGGTGGGCGCCTGTAGTCCCAGCTACTTGGGAGACTGAGGCAAGAGAATTGCTTAAGCCCAAGAGTTGGAAGTTGCTATGAGCTGTGAGGCCATGGCTCTCTACCAAGGACAACATAGTGAGACTATCTCACACACACACAAAAAAAAGTCCTTAGTAAAGCAAATTACAAAATTGGCCTACTAGTAAACAAGGTACTAAGTGATGTACCTTACAAAGGCAAGTGGTAAAAAGATATTAATGTTTCATACTGATAGTTGATATTTCAAGTTGAAAATAAAATGTATTTAAATTTTCTTTTATATTTATAATCGAAGAAGTTACAGTTAGTTACTAGAGGTCAAATGAAAGAATATGCAAAGAATCCTTTATCTACATTCATTCAAGGAATATTTATTAAGTATCTACTGTGTGCTTGGTTACAAAGTATATCATGCTACTGTTTACAAAGATGAATAGCACAGGGCAGCTAGGGCGCCAGCCACATACACTGAAGCTGATGGATTCAAGCCCAGCCAGGGCCCGCCAAACAACAATGACAACTACAACCAAATAATAGCCAAGCATTGTGGAGGGCACCTGTAGTCCCAGCTACTCGGGAGGCTGAAACGAGAATCACTTAAGCCCAAGAGTTGGAGGTTGCTGTGAGCTGTGACACCATGGCACTCTACCAAAGGTGACATAAACTCTGTCTCAAAAAAAAAGTAAACATAATATTTAATATCTACAAAAATATAGTATTAATATTTAATATATTTGATAATACATGGTAGAGTGTATACAGTGTCATAAATGCCATAATACAAATTTAAAGGGTTGGGGAAGTTTAAATGAGAACTTCCTGTAAGTTAAGTTTTCAAGGGGCATTTTAGTGGATTCTGAAGGAAGGGTAGAATTTTGAAGATGATGGCACAGGAAGCATAATATTCCAAAAGACAGAATTATAATTAGTAATAATTATTTTATTATGGTATAATTCTTATAATACAGAAATAACAATGGTTATAAGGGTGGTTATGGAAATTAAACATATGAAATGTGCTTAGAACAGTAACTGGCTTTTAGTAAGCTCCCAAAGGTAGGAATCTTTATATTGTTCACTGGTACTATCCCCAAGTCCTTAGAAGAGTTCCTTGCATATATGTAAGCATTATTAAATATTTATTTATCCAAGCACGGTAGCTTACACTTTTAATCCTAGCAATTTGGGAGGTCGAGGCAGGTGGATTGCTTGAGCCCAGAAATTCAAGACCAGCTTGAGCAAGAGTGAGACCAATCTCTATTAAAAATAGAAAAACCATCCAGGCATCATAGTGGGCATTTGTAGTCCCTGCTACTTGGGAGGCTGATGCAAGAGGACCCCTTGAGCCTAAGAATTTGAGGTTGCTCTGAACTATGTATGATACCACAGCACTCTACCTAAGGCAACAGAATGAGACTCTGTCTCAAAATAAAAAAAAAGTATTAATTCAATAAAACATAATATGTAGGCTCAGCACCCATAGCTCAGTGAGTAGGTCACCGGCCACATACACCGAGGCTGGTAGGTTCAAGCCTGGCCTGGGCCTGCTAAACAACAACAACCGCAACAAAAAAATAGCCAGGCATTGTGGCAGGCACCAGTAGTACCAGCTACTTGGGAGGCTGAGGCAAGAGAATCCCTTGAGCCCAAAAGTTTGAGGTTGCTGTGAGCTGTAATGCCATAGCACTCTATCGAGGACAACATAATGAGACTGTCTCAGAAAAAAAAAAATTACGTACAGCTTACTATACATCAGGTATTATTCTAAGCACTTTTAATATGTTTAATTTTCACATTTTATTCCTGTATTTCAGGTGAAAAAACTGAGGCACTGAGAGATTAAGAAACTTGTCCATGGTCACCCAGATAGTATAGAAAAGGGGCAAGGATTCAAATTAACAACACAGCTCTAGAGTCCATACTCTTGAACACTAAGTTCTGGAAACAGAAAATTGGTATGTGTGTAAGACTGAAAAAGTACTTATTTAAGGCCCAAACTATATAGTTTTTATTTATTTTTTTTGTAGAGACAGAGTCTCACTTTGTCGCCCTCGGTAGAGTGCTGTGGCGTCACACAGCTCACAGCAACCTCCAACTCCTGGGCTTAGGCCAGTCTCTTGCCTCAGCCTCCTTAGTAGCTGGGAATACAGGCACCTGCCACAACACCCGGCTATTTTGTTGTTGTTGTTGTTGCAGTTCAGCTGGGGCAGGGTTTGAACCTGCCACCCTCGGTACATGGGGCCGGCGCCCTACTCAAAGAGCCACAGGTGCTGCCCACTATATAGTTTTTAAATTCTAAGTTTGGGGTTTTTTTTTTTTTGAGACAGAGCCTCAAGCTGTCCCCTGGGTAGAGTGCTGTGGCATCACAGCTCACAGCGACCTCCAACTCCTGGGCTCAAGCGAATCTCCTGCCTCAGCCTCCCAAGTAGCTGGGACCACAGGCGCCCGCCACAGTGCCCGGCTATTTTTTGGTTGCAGCCATCGTTGTTTGGTGGGCCTAGGCTGGATTCGAACCCACCACCTTAGGTGTATGTGGCTGGTGTCTTAGCCACTTGAGCCACAGGTGCCAAGCCAAATTCCAAGTTTTGAAGTCTAGATTTATTCCAAAGATAATAAAACTGTTGAAGAGTCTATTTTTTTTAAATTCAGTTTAATGTGAAGGTACAAACAACTAGGTTACAATATTTGCATTTGTTAGGTAAAGTCTCTCTTGTAGTTATGTCCCACACCCAAAAGGTGTGCCATATACCCTTACATTGTGCCCATTAAGTGGGAGCACACCAGTCCCCTCCTCTCCTCCCTCTCCCTCCCCATTCCTGTTGGAGATTCTTGATTAGGGTAGTGTCATAATGACACCTATCGTTTTAGGGAAAATACTCTGGCAGCATTGAATGGGATAAATTTAGACTAGAGAGATACCGGAGTGAGAGATGCCAGTTAAGGAGTGTCTGTACTGGTGAAGGGTAGAGGTGATGGTGATGGGAGTGATCAGAATAGATGAATGGGTTTCTGGAGATAAAGAATGGTAAGAATTTTACAACTGATTTCAAGGAAGTTAGAAGACTAAGAGATGATTCAAAGTCTTCAGTCTTGGCTGAGAAAATGCCAAAACATTAACAAAAAAGAAAGTCAGGAAAAAATAGGTTTTGTGCAGGAGCTGAAGAGTTTGGACATGTGTTTGAGAAGCCAGTGGAGAACTAAGGTAGATGTGTCTTGTTGGCATTTCAAAGTCCAGGGTAGGAGTTCACAAAAGAGATACTGGCTGGATACAACCTTGAGAATCATTCACCTATAAGGTGTGACATAAGGGTGGATGGAAATACTTCCTTCAGACTATAAACGAAAGCCTTGCCAAGAAAAGAGGACAGAGCCTTTGGGTGTGAGAGGGAAAAGCCGTGAACAGAATGATGGGAATAGAAGTTTATACAAGAAGAGAAGAAAAAGGAGTGCAGGGCCCCATAAACCACAGGGGAAAGTCTCAAGGAAAATGGATCATCAACTGGCTTTTTTTTTTTTTTAGAGTCTCAGTTTGTCGCCCTTGGTAGAGTGCTGTGACATCACAGCTCACAGCAATCTCAAACTCCTTAGCCTCCCATGTAGCTGGGACTACAGGCACCCACCACAGCACCCAGATATTTTTAGTGGAGATGGGGTCTCGCTCTTGCTCAGACTGGTCTCTGTGAGCTCAGGAAATCCACCTGCCTTAGCCTCCCAGAGTGCTAGGATTACAGGTGTGAGCCACCACACCCCGCCAGGTTAATCAACTATTAAATCCAAAAGAAATTGCAAGAACAATGAAGGCTGAAAAAATATATATTGATAAGGCAATCAGTTGTGAATTATAAGAGTGCAATTTCCGTAGTGGGTTGAGAGCAAAAATTAGGTTAGATTGTAAGGTAAAAATTGAGTGTGAATTCTTTGGAACTTGAGCATGAGAAAAGAAAGATAAACACAAGATGTAGCTGGAACTGATAACAAGGTAGAGGAAAGACTTGTTTGGAATTTTGAAAATGGAGAAACAGTAGCCGTAGGCATGTTAAAAATACAAGAATAGGCCAGGCGCGGCAGCTCACACCTGTAATCCCAACACTCTGAGAGGCCAAGGTAGGTGGATCACCTCAGCTTCACAAATTTGAGACCAGCCAGAGCAAGAGCAAGAGCAAGACCTCGTCTCTAAAAATAGCCAGGCATTGTGGCAGGTGCCTGTAGTCCCATCTACTCGGGAGGCTGAGGCAAGAGAATCACTTAAGCCCCAGAGTTTGAGGTTACTGTGAGCTGTGACATTACAGCACTCT